GGGCTTTTATCTTTTCCCTGGCACACCTTAAATGCCACAGATGACTCTTTTGCCTGTTGGGTCAGGACCCTTGCTTTCCAGATGCTTAAGTTTTAGTTGGGGAGGTCTGGGGAACAAGAAACGGATTTTACTCTGTGTCCTGAATTTTTTTCCCTGATGATTGATGGTATAAGGACAGCTTTAGGAAGATCTGCCAGGAGGCAAACTATAAACCAATCCTTTTGGAAGACTTGTCTGAGGCTATAAGCTGATTTTTGACTTAAGAGTCATCCTGACAACTGTAAATTTATTTGTATGGATTTTAGCCACTACACAGACCTGTCTGTGTCTCTCAAGGCAGTTTGAGAATGAGTGGGTGGAGTTAAGGTGAGTTAGGGCGAGAGTCATAGAAGCCGCCCAAGCCCGCCCATGTGAGCCCGCCCACTGCCGGCGGAAGTCAGACAGAAAAGGTTGCACATGGCAGAGACATAAATGGGGAGGAAGAAGGGTTGAGAGCTTTAAGAAAGCTTGGGGATAAAGTAACTCTTTCATTTGCCCATTCACCGGCAGAAGTTCCCACCACACTGTTATGCAGCCAGATTTATGAGTACAGCGAAGCAGTTATGCCACCAGATTTACCGGTACCTGCCCCCTTTTTCTATGGTTTTTGCCCATTGTTGGCAGAAGTTCCCACAAAGCTGTTTTGTGGCCAGATTTACAGGTACCCGCCCCTATCCACCAATGTAAGTGGTAAATGTATCTGCCTCTTTGTCCCATGGCAGTTTTTGGGGTGAGAGCATTTTGGTCTTATTTTGGTTCCACAGTCAAGGGATAGGAAGGGATGCGGCTGTGCTACAGTTGGTCCACAGTGGTCCGAGACACCATTTACTCCCTTGTCAGGAGCGAAAATGTGCCTGCCGTTGCCAGCACACCTGAGGACAAACCCCCGGGTGTCCGTCACAAAGAATATAGGTCAGACTACAGCCGCAAGAACGGCGGACTTTCTCACTGTGGTGAAGAATCATGGCGATAGCAGTAATGGTAGCTCTGTGGGGGTCCAGCGGAGGCGAGGGACGCATGTGCGCTCACGATATCCCTGTCTCGCTGAATGGGAGAAGAGGCGGCAAGCGGCAGTGGTCACAGCAGGTCCTTGGTGGTCTATAATGGCACCAAATGTTGGTTAAGTGGTGGCGCTTGTGGCTGGCCGCCGCCCGCGGTGGCCATGCCAATGGAGGAGAGTGCTGGATGTATTGGTGATGGAAGAGTCATGAGCCATGGTTACCTTTCTAGAGCTTTATTGGGAAGGAGAGGGAGAGGGAAAGGGAGAGGGAGAGGGAGAGGGAGAGGGAGAGAGAGAGACCGCATGGAGGGGGGACAATACGGAAGGAGAGAGTGTGGAAAGAGAGGTCGGGCACAGAGGGCATGCCTGCTTTGTAGGCTGGGATGCCATTGCAGGCTAGTGACATAACTAAGAACATTATCCTTACACTTTCCCTTCCTCCTTTCCCTCTCCCTCCCTCCATATCTCCCCCTCCTGTTTGTGGATCAGGTGGAAGCTCTCAGCTACTGCTCCAGTCCATTCCTGCCTGCTGCCATGACAGTCATGATCTCATCCTCTGAAACTGTAAGCCCAGATTAAACACTTTCTTCTATAAGTTGCTTTAGTCTCGGTGTCTTAGCACAGCAATGGAAAGGGAACTAAAACAGTAGCTGTCACTAGGGAGTGGGCTCTTGCTGTGACAGGCCTGACCATGATGTTTTTTGATGAATGTGGAAGACTTTGGGGCTCAGGACTAGGAAAGTGGTTGAACATAATAAGTGGGGGTTAAGGGGCCTCCTAGTGGGAGCTGGGAAGACAACAGTGCTGAGATCAGGTGGTCCATGGAGGTCCAGCTCAAGATGTTTCAGAGGGGAATAATTTTAGCAACCAGGCTAGAAACCATTTCTGTGATATTTTGACA